AAAAAATCAGCCAATAGTGAAGATGACAAGACTTCACTGGCTGCATCTACACTGGACAAGAAACAAGTCACCAGAGATTTGAATTGTTCCTTCTCTAATTTCTCTCTGGAATCAACAATTAAACAAAAAAGAAACAAAAAAAAGGAAACAATTCACCAGTGAGATCGAGAAGGCTTTATGGACCATATCCGAAGAGGACGGAAAAACAGGCAATATTGAGTGCGAGGAAACTTCACCTACCTCCCAGTCCTGCAAATTTACCCTGGAAAGTTTCACCTTCCATAGAGTACTAGGACAGGGGGGCTTTGGAAAAGTAATGTTGGCCTCTCATCCTGACATTAAGCAGAAGCTAGCAGTGAAAATGGTTAAAAAAAGACCATTACTTGACCAGGATCCCAGCTGCGTCGTTACAGAGCGCTACATAATGGAAATGTGCAACAAGCACTCATTTTTCGCACATCTATACTGCTCCTTTCAAACAGAGACACATCTCGTCTTTGCTATGGAGTTCCTGGGCGGAGGGGATCTTGAAAAATTCATAAGAGTTTCAGCTCCACTTGATGAAGAAAACCTTAAGACGTCTTACTGCTGAAATTCTGTGTGGACTGCAGCACCTTCATTCTCTTCAGATTGTCCACAGAGATCTAAAACCAGAGAACATTCTTCTGGATAACGCCGGGCACGTCAAGATTGCCGATTTCGGCCTATCGGCAATGTGCGTCAATGAGTGCTACAGAGTCACCAGTTGGGTGGGGACACCAGGTTACATGGCCCCTGAAGTCTATTATCAAAGTCCATACTATTACCCGGCTGACTATTTCTCATTTGGGATAATAGTATATGAGATGGCCTTAGGGGAGCATCCTTATTATACTGAACAGGAGAATGAAGAGCAGTTGGTTGCTCGCATGTCACCATGCCACCCTATTTACCATGGTACTTGGACTTTTACCTGCATGAACTCTTACGCAGACTTTTATGTCTTGACCAAGAGCAACGTGCGTACGAGGTGTGCAATCTCAGATCACACCCTTTCTTCAAGGGTATTGACTGGGAAGAGATAGAAGAAGGACCATCACATGTACAAAGTACATTGGAACCTATTCTCGAGCAACCACTGCAGGAAATCATTGAAGTGGATACTTTTCTGTCCAAAGACCTGGAGATGCCAATTGACTCATTGGATCAGGAGTATTTTAAGGACTTTACATACATTAGTGAGGGAATGAAGGCAAGGCAAGCCTGATCCCCACCACCACCACAACCAGAGGGCCATCCTTCAATGGATGGTTAACTAAAAAGTTCACAACAGTGAACAAAAAATGTAAATTAGATATGATAGATAGATAGATAGATAGATAGATAGATAGATAGATAGATAAAGATAGATAAATAGATAGATAGATAGATAGATAGATAGATAGATAAGATAGATGGATGATAATAGGGCAGCAGCACAGTGGCTAAGTGGTTAGCACTTCTGCCTGGCAGTACTAGGGTCGCCGGTTTTAAATCCCAACCACGGCACCACCTGCCTGGAGTTTGCATGTTCTCCCTGTGCCTGCGTGGGTTTCCTCCGGGTACTCCGGTTTCCTCCCACCCTCCAAAAATATGGCGCTATATAAGTACCTGAAATAAATAAATAATGATATAGATAGATAGATAGATAGATAGATAGATAGATAGATAGAGATTAAGATAGGAACTGGCCAGAGAGGGATTACTTTGACGTAGTTGGCCGGCTTAAACATGCATAGAAATGTATGTGAACGAAAAATCCCTGTTTATATGGAAAGTTTGCTAAAAGGGGGTATATAGCAATGTGCAGATGGTTTTCCAGAATTTTTAGTGGTCACACCCATCACAGGTTGCCTGCAGAAATCTATGGGGGGGTGTAGACAAGACCAGTCACCCTGCACAAGGGCCCCAGGCCGGTTCACACAGGAACACTGCTGTGGGTGGCAATAGATTCCTAACGACACTCCAAACACAGATCACAAATACAGTGTGTTTGCCTGCACCAAAATGCATGGTACCGCAGAGTCATGTTTTTTATTATTATAATACAGAATTTATATAGCGCCAACAGCTTACGCAGCGCTTTACAACATAAGGGCAGACAGTACAATTACAATACAAATGAATACAGAAGGAGTGAGAGGGCCCTGCTCGTTGGAGCTTACAACCATGTGATCCAGTTTCAGTGCGTTTTTAAATTGCATGGCACTGAATTGCACAGGGACACACAGCGCGTTACTGTGCAATGTCGGTGTCACCCGGCACTAAGTCTGTACACGGTTTGGCTCCCCAGTCCCCTGACTCCAGGCTCAGTTCTTTGTGGATCTATTTCACCTGATGGGAATGGAGTGCCTGTTCTCACGCACTCTTTCATGCCTGGACAGACTCCTTCCATCTAGTGCATGCAACTCTGGTGTTTAAGTGAGGGTGGAGGGCACAGGTGCACCATCCAGTCCCACTGCTGGCAGACTGGAAAAGTCTATGGGAAACTGACAGCTGGTGGAAGGTGCACCCAATCCTACGAACATTTAGGGGACTAAACACCCAGAGACGAATGCCCAGAACGCCAGCAGTCTGCATTGCGATCATTCGTCCCTGGGTGCATACTGCCCTAAATGTTAGTAGCTCTAGGTGCATTATCCTGTCCAGCTGCAGCCGCAAGGTTTCACAAACTGCAACTGCAAGGCGTCTCTCTGTCACTTGGCCTGATGGAGGTCCCTTGCAGGTTCCAAAATGCTGCATTGCTCATGTAACATGCCTAAAACAACACAAATAAAGGCAGTTCTACTGAAGCGGATTGCGGTGTGCTAGTCGTCATCTCTGTTCACTGTGGTGACATCCACCCACTGCTGCAACACCCCACAATTGCGTTCCGCTGCGGTGTACAATGGAGATACAGTGCAAAACGTATGTAGTGAGCGCAATGAAGTGAATGAGTAGCTAGCACAAAGTGGAAAACCCTCTTCTTCCACTACATAAACATATAAATCAAGGTGCAGCGCTAATAAACAGGAAACAAATATGTGAATACAGTGCACTGAGGAGCCTGGAAGAGGTCGGAGCTCACAGAGCTCCAACAGGGTCCCTCCAGCACTGTGACATACCCGAGCTTGCTCTGTGAGCTCCGACCACTTCCAGGCTCTTCAGTGCACTAAATGTGATAACGCCTTGGCTCCTCCCACAGTCCAGAGCTTTTGGCAGAGATGGAGAGTGCTGGAGCTGGGTGAAGGAGGTGCTATACTTTGGATGGATCACTGACTGGGGAAGGGGAGGTTCATTTGTAAGAATGTACACATAGGAGCCCATACTACAGTGGAGGTCATCAAGTCATTTCCCTTTTCTCCTGCAATGGATGGATCCATCCTTGGAGGGATTTCTATACAAGGCCTGTTTGCTTCTTGCTTGCTTCTGATGAGTGCATAGTGGTGGAGGATTGTCACAGAAGTCACTTTCTATCATTGGTTACTATTGATTCACACAGTATTGTTGGACACTTTTATTGCTGGTCATTATTGATGCACACAGTATTGTTGGACACGGCATCATTAAACTTTCTGAAAGGGAATCCTATTCACATATTTTTTTCCCAGTTTATTTATTAGCACTGCACCTTTTATATAAATGGAGATACAGTATATGTATTACTCATCGAAGTGCACTGCAGGACATTGCATTGGGCAGCCTAAAAAAAAAAAAACCTAAAGCGGATTTCACTCCTCCATTTTTTTCCGACTAATCTCCACCCGCCCAGCGAATGCAGTGTTGTCTGCTGTAAGCCGCCTCTCTGTATCAGCATTAATTGGTCTCATGCCGCTATCTTCTCTTCTGCCGTCATCAGGATGCCAGCAGTCTCTTCCAGGTTCTTTGAGCTGCTCCTCCTGATGACGTGCGGCAGAGACAACCCAGTGCATGCTCAGCACAATGGAGGTTGATTGAAAGTCTCCTGAGACATTAAAATGGTTGTAAACCTCTGATATGAAATATGAACAAAGCATATCCCTCTATAGTGTGTACTTGTCTCAATCCACAGTGTTAAGTGTCATTTCTGTTTCCTGCTCTGTTCCTCTGCCATCAGCATGAGTCACTTCTGACAAATTTTCCTGACACCAAGAGAAAAATGGTGACGGGGAAGGGAGCTCCAGCAGATTGAAAGCCTCAGCTCTGTTCCTGTGTGATAGGGTGTGTCTTTTCCTTCCATTCAGCTCTCCTCACTGATGTAACTTCACATCTCCATCCCCTTCTTTTCAGAGCCAAGAGATCCTGTATTAATTCTGCACTTTGAATGGATGTAGGGAAAAAAAAAGGCTACAGATAAAACAGGTACAACTTATGCAGGAGGATTTGTTTCATCTCTGTGTATTACCTGAAGTCAGTCACTTCACTGGGAATATGGGAAGGAAGTGACTACCCTTACGTGATACACAGAGGTTAAACAAATCCTCCTACATAAGTTAAACTGGTTTACCTGCAGCCCCTGTCCTCTACAGTCATTCCATGGGCAGAATTTATACAGCCTGCCTGAGCTTTCAGAAAGCAGGGGCCTGAGAGCTGAAGTTCTACTCTGCAAAGCTCAGTGAAAGCTGAATGGAAGGAAGGAACACACCCACCTACACGCATCACACAGGAACAGAGCTAAAGTTGTCCATCACAGGATGTGTACTGAAGCTCCCTCGCTGAGGCTGCCACAATCACAGGCTGTGCGCTGGAGCTCCCTCCCATGTCACTTTTTTTTTTCTTGGTGTCAGGAAAACTTGTCAGGAGTAACTCTAGCTGATAGCAGAGGACAGAGGCAGCAGACAGAAATGAAACCTAGTGCTCTGGAGTGAGACAAGCACACACTATAGAGGGATATGCTTTGTTCATATTTCTTGTTAAGAGGTTTACAACCACTTTAACCGTCTCCCGCCCACCATATAGTACAATGAGGAGCGCAAGGTGGTTCTCTTGTTCTGGGAGGATGTCATATGACGTCCTCCCATTCTCACTGCACATGCGCGGCTCTCCTGGAGCGTGCAGCGCGGCGATCCAGGGAAAGAGCCGAAGATGTCGGCTCGGTCATGTGATCATCTGTGTCCAATCCCAGCTGATCGCATGTAAACAGGGAAATGCCGGTTATTGGCATTTCTCTGCTTACGAGCTGTCACGCTGACAGCTCGAGAGGAGAGGAGAGCCGGTAATCGGCATTCCTCGAAGGGGACATGTACACTAATCATTAGGGCACTGATGATCAGTGTGCCCTGATGATCAGTGTAGCCCCAGAAGTGCCACCTGTCAGTGTCCATTAGTGCCAGCTCTCAGTGCTCATCCATGCCACCTGCCAGTGCCCATCAGTGCCACATCAATGCCACATATCAGTGCCTACCAGTGCACATCAATGCCACATATCAGTGCCCATCTGAGCTGCCTTTCAGTGTCACCCATCAGTGCCAGTCAGCGCCACCTATCAATGCCAATCAGTGCCCGTCAGTGTCGCCTATCAGTGCCAGTCAGTGCCACCTATCAGTGCCAGTAAGTGCTGCCTATAGATGCCGCCTATCAGTGCCAGTCAGTGCCGCCTATCAGTGCCACCTATCAGTGCCATATATCAGTGCTGCCTTTCAGTGCCCATCAGTGATGCCTGTCAATGACCATCAGTGCCACCTACCAATACCTCCTCATCAGTGCCCATCAGTGCCATCTATCAGTGTCCATCAGTGCAGCCTATCAGTGCCCATCACTGCAGTCTCATTAGCGCACATCAGCGAAGGAGAAAAATCACTTATTTACAAAATTTTATAACAAAAACTAAGAAAAAACATTTTTTTTTCAAAATTTTCAGTGGTTTTTTGGTTTAAGAAAAAATGAAAAAACCAGAGGAGATTAAATACCACCAAAATAAAGCTTTATCGGTCACAAAAAAGTGATAACATTTTCATATGGGTACAGTGTTGCATGACTGTGCAATTGTCATTCAAAGTGTGACAGTGCTGAAAGCTGGAAATTGGCCTGGGCAGACAGGGGGTATAAGTGCCCTGTAGGTCCCTCCTTCACAGTCGTCAACTGCAAACTATTCAAGGGGGTGGGGTTGCACTGAAAAAGCCTGCAAACTTTATACCCCCTACCCCTAGGAAAGAATATACGGGGAAGTTGTGGAAAGTGAAAGATGAGGGGGAAGGTCTACTTTAATGGGCTGTAATGCACCTCACCAGCAGGATTTTGTCAGCAGGTGTCAGCCAATGAATCGTGGCTTAGACCTGCTGATCTGCTGTGTCCAATCACAGCCCAGAGCCCTTTGTTAGCAAAAACACAGGGTTCTGTACAGATGGAATGATCTGTCTGTTTCTTCTCCCTGCAAAGCAAGAAGAAGGAACAAACAGATTTTAGTAATTTTTTTTTAGTTTTTAGTAAATTCATAAGCACACACTTAACCCTTTGATTACCCCAAAATGTTAGGCCCTTCCCAGTGCACGTCATTAGCACAGTTACAGTGTAAAGTATTATTATTGATCTTTGTAACAGTGTCACTGGTGATGTCAGTGTCAGTTGGTATCAGATTGCCTACAGCACTATCACAGTCCCACTATAAGGATGCTGATCACTGCAATTTCCAGGATAAATACAAATTTCCAGTTTATTTATACCATAGTTTGTAGACGCTATAACGTTCACAAAAACCAATCAATATACACTTATTGGGATTTTTTTCTTTTCTACCAAAGACGTAGCAGTATACATTTTGGCATAAATTCATGAAGAAATGTGATGTTTTAATTTTTTTATTGGATATTTTTCTATAAAAAGTAAAATATATTGTTTTTTTTCAAAATGTTCTATCTTTTTTAGTTTATAACTTAACAATTTAAAAAACTCAGTGGTGATCAAATGCCACTAAAAGAAAGCTCTATTTGTGTGAAGAAGAAAACAGGATATAAATTTGATTTGGGTACAGTGTTGCATGACGGCGCAATTACCAGTTAAAGCAGCAAAGTGCTGAATAGCATAAACTGGCCTGATCATGAAGAGGGTAAAACATTCTAGAGGTCAAGTGGTTAATGGCACTGCAAAGCACCGACACAAATAAGATGCGTGATTGCAGTGAGCTGGTGTGAATGGACCCAAAAGGTACTTCTGATGTTAGTCAAGCCCTTGGCAAAGCAGGCACTTTATTTCCAATAAAATATGGTCTAGCACACATACTAAAACGTGAAGATCCGCCACACACTGCTTGGCAAAAAATACTGACCTGTCAACCAGCTGAAAAGGATCTATAAAAGGAAATCTTGCAAGGCCTAGGTGTCTGATATCTATATCTCAGAAGATAAATCTGTGCAAGTGTGTGGTGGCGCACTTACTGGAGCGCGTCCGTATCAGTCAGTCCCATCATTTCACTCAGCTTGTCGCTTACAACGGATAGATGCAGTGAAGAGAATTGATACCGCTTCTCCATTTCTCCATACTGTGGCAACGGAAGCCGTGATGACTACTGGTTGCCATGGGCAACACAGCATCTGCCGATTCTCCTCTCAGGAGCAGAGGCCTGCTGTCTCATCCATGCTCCATGGATCGTTATGCACCCTACCAAAAAATGAAGCATGGAGGAAGGTTGGCGACATCAAAGCACATTTAATAATTAACTCCTAGTGATCCCAAGATGTGCTGAAAATGGCCTGGGCTTCCTGGGAGTAGATATAAACTCTCACAAATTATCTACGGAAAAGACACCAGTGATATGAACACTTTCCACAGTAAATGGGAGGATGTGTTTACTTCAGACATGATGAGGCTGAATGAAGGGTGCAACTGATGTCTATGAGCCTTCACTGTGGCAGCCATGATGGGTAGAGCCAGAAGAATATACAAAGACCAATGACATCACTTTTAGACATCGAGAGGCTTATTTGTAGAGCAAATCAAAATGGAGATGCTGCTCACAAGAACCAATCGGATTCCTGCTTTCCACTGTAAATTAAAAAAAGTAAAGGCCAAAAGCTGCTTGGCTTCTAAAGCCTATGACACCCTAGTATATCCAGTCGCTGGCAGCAATCTGCCCACAACAGGATCCCTAGGAAGGAACGAGAAACTACTCGACTCTTTCCTTTCACTTCCTGTCTTGGAGTCTCAGCCAGAAATATCAAAATGAATGTAATGGAAGCAGCAGGGCAGCTTAGTAGTTACCTGTATGGAGATTTGCTCAGCACCAGCAGTTCCAGAGACAAAGGGGGCTATTTACTAAAACTGGAGCAATCCGAATCTGGTGCAGCTGTGCATGGTAGCCAATCAGCTTTCAGGTTTTATTGCCAAAGCTTCACTGGACAAGCTGAAGTTAGAAGATGATTGGCTACCATGCACAGCTGCACTAGATTCTGAGAGCTCCAGTTTTAGTAAATCTATCCCATAGGATTTTCATGCAGCCTTGGAGCGGTGACATCTCTTTACATGTCTCCACAGAGATAGTGTGCTAACTGGAATACAAACTGGGAACCCCAGGGCGGGTAATCAGGATTGCCAACCGCTAAGCCACCCTGCCACTTCCATTACATTCGCTGACCAGATATGACCTGAATACTCCATGAACTTTGCAGGAAATTAGGAAGGTGCACATACAGTATATATGAAAACCTGGGAGATGGGACAGGAAGTGAGAGGGGAGAGATCGGGAGAGAGGAGCGCGCTGACTGTGGGAGGAATGGACCAGGCTGTGGAGAGAGAGAGAGAGAGAGGAGGCAAGGAGAGTCTGCTGATCGCTGACCTTGCAGCATTGTAGAGAAAGCTAATCTGCTATCAGGTGACCAGATGGAACGCTGCAGGCAGGACGGAGAGTGTGTGTAGGCCTTATCAAAGAAGAGAAAGACCACCAGAATTCACCAGATGTCACACAGAGTTAGAAGTTGTGGCCTAGTTGACCCACTTTCAGCCGCTATCTTTTGACCACACTTAACACAGCCTTATTAGCAGAGCGAATGACGGCTACACTAGCAGGACTGTCAGTCTACAGGCAGCACCCACTGCTGATGTGTCACCAGCGTCATCAATTCACTTTATTAACTAGTTGCCGACCGCAGATTGCTGAATGACGGCTACACTGCGGCCGGCCAGCTCTCAGGGAGGGCGTCATATGATTCCGTCCTCCCAGAACACGCTCTCCTGGGCGCGCTAGGCCCCCTTGGGCGAGCGCGCAGCCTTCCTCACCTAAGTCATGATAAGCGTTCCTCAGAGAATTGGGAAGCACTCCAAGAACCTGCGCACACAGCTGATCACGTGATGTGGTAAAAACCCAATCACAAGCAGTCCCCCTTTTACCACGTGATCAGCTGTGTCCAATGGGGGACACGCTGATCACAGGAAAATGCAATTGCCGGTTTTTCGGCTGCACTTTCCTCACACTGTCGCAGTTGTCAGAGCAGGGATCGGCACCGATCATCAGGGCACTGATGATCAGTGCCTTGATGATCGGTGCCCAGCAGTGAAACCCACCAGCTCCGCCCACCTGTGCCCAGTAGTACCGCCCCACCTCAAAGCCCTTTCAGAGCCACTTAACCTTTTAACCTCCCTGCCCATCAGAGCCACCATGGCACCTGTGACCCAGCATCTTTCTTTCTGAAGTGTTAAACCTGTGCCACCAATTCACCTGCCTTTTGAAGAGACGCAGTGCCACCCACCTGTGCCCGGCAGTGCCACAGGCCACTTTTTCAACCATTACGTATATATTGGTGCCACCCTGTCCAAAAAGTGGCTCATCAGGGTCGTAATTACCCACCCAGTAACAGTGCCAGCTGTTGCGCCAGTCAGTACTGGACATCGTTGTGCAAGCTGAGTGTGGCATTGTTACGCACAAAATTCGACCGGCCTGGTAAGGTCACGAGTTTGGGGGTAGAAGTGCCCGGTAGGCAAGTCGGTTAAGGTTGGGCCTTTTCCTATTGTGCCAATAGTCTTGCACCTGTGCCCAGAGGAGAGTTGCCCTGTGCCAACAATCACTTTTGCCAGCTTAGTGCCGCCACTTGTTGCTTTAGATTCATTAGTGACTAGTGCTGTAAGCTGAAACATTACAAGGAAGGGGGTAGAATGCCCGGTGCTGTTTAAGGAGGGCCTTTTCCTATTTGCCAATTGCTTGCATTGCAGAGAACCTGTGCCAACAATCACTTTTGCCAGCTTAGCCACTTGTTGCTTTAGATTCATTAGCGACTAGTGTTTTTAAAGGAACATTACACCAGTCAATTGCTGTTTTTCCCTTCCTTTATTGCAATCAGAGAACCATAATATACACTTCTTCCCACTGTGCACCCATCATGTGCACAGAAGACTCTTCACTGCCTTTAAAAAACATTGGTTGTTTTGCAATAAAGAGCTCTTTTCCTTATTTTAGGCTATCTCCTTGCCATCAGGTCCTGATAGCCCAAAGTGAGCTAGTCTACCCACTTGATAGTTCTTGCTGCTCACTGGGACTGCAATCCATATTAAAAAAAAAGGAACACAAAAAAAATGCAAAGAAATATAATAAGCCATAGCCGCATCCAATATCCAATATCAAAAATCTATTCCTATGAATAGGGATTGATTAACAAATAGATACATATTCACCCACGCAGAATAGTTTTTTTATGTCCTGCATAAAGTCAACTCCTATAGTCCACCTATGCAAATAGAGAAGGAAAATGGACAAAAAAAAAAAAAAAAAATCACAGAATGAAAACAAATCAAATAAAAAATGAATAAACCAACATCTAAGGCTCAAACATAGATATGACTAACATCCCACTCAAAGTTTAACCCCTGAGGGATGCGAATCTGTAAATTAAATTTTTTTTTAAATTTTCTTGTATAGGAAATGAAAGACATCTCCTGGTACAGTGGTCCTAAAGTTTTCT